CAACAACTTAATCCTGCCTTGCTAGAAGCCTATCAACTCTCTACCTCTCCGGAGGAGAGTTCTTTGCAGCAGGGGAGAATTGATAGAAAATATGGCAAATGTTATTTTAGAAAGAAATAATTATTTTTGCATTATTTAGTATTTTGCAAGTTTCCTTCTAAAGGAAGGAAACCTGACCTGCTTTTGTTTGTTTTACACTTTATTTAAATCTGCAAGTTGAGCTTTCCTTATAGGGAAGGAAACCTCAAGCTTATATTTTATTTCATTTTATGTTTCCTTCATAAGAAGGAAACCTTAATTGTGGCTTCTATAAAAAGCCACCATGCAGCACATGTAAGCAAGTTCTGAGAGTTGGAATGAATTGCTGTTCTATTCCCCTATCTATCAGTTCTGCGTCCCTCTCCACTTCCCCTGCTTTCTCTATTTTCTGTCATCTCTCCCCTCTGTTTTCGCTCCCCCTTCACCTCTCACTCTCTGATTCTGTTTCTTTTCCTCATCCTATTCTGTTCAAATCAATGTGAGTGTGTGTGTTTTACATCAACTTGGTATCAGAGCTATGGGTGAAAGACACAGTAGAACATTTCCTCATGAGTTTACCAATCATCATTCTAATGACATAGATGATACTTGGGATGGGCAAGGGCCTGAAGAACAACATCATAGACCATACCAGTTAGTCCATAGGAATGGTAGAGAAGGCTTTAGAAGGACACATATTGATGACATCACCAAAAAGGTTAAAGTTGAAGCTCCTGAGTTTGATGGACGATTGAATCCTAGTGCATTCCTGGATTGGTTAGCTAGTATGGAAGATTATTTTGAATGGTATGACATGAGAGATATTCAGCGAGTTCAGTTTACGAAGATGAAGCTCGTGGGATCTGCTAGGAAATATTGGCAAAATGTCCAAAGGAACATTGAGCGACAAAGTTATCCACCGATTGAGACGTGGGATGAAATGAAGGCCAAGCTGAAAGAAAAATATGTGCCGACTCATTATAAGAGTCAACTGTATGACAAATACCTTAATTTGAGGCAAATATCCACAGCTTCCAAGTATATTTCTCAATTCGATGACCTTATGATTAGATGTGACTTGGATGAAGAGGAATGGCGCACCATTACCAAGTTTGTTAATGGTCTCAAGCCATATCTACAGAAGGAGCTCAAGTTAAACTTTCCAGAGTCTCTTGAAGAAGCTTATCATAAGACTTTAGAAGTAGAGTCTCTGTCACAGTACTCGTCTGCAAAGCGTATCGACATGCAGAGCAATCTGTTTAGACAAGCACGAACTTCCAGTATGTCTGAACGACCAACAGGAGCACTTACATCTAGGCCTAGCTCGTCTTTTACACCTACTCAAGCAATTGGGTTAAGGGGTAATACTTCTAAGCAGCCTAGTGAGGCTATAGTTCCTGCTTCCCGCCATAACAATTCCTTCGTCGAGTGTTTTTGCTGTCACTCAAAGGGTCATATTGCATCAAAATGCCCACAGTGTACTCTAGTTATTGACTCACAATATGAAGGTGAGGAAGACAATGCAAATGCTGACGTTGTCATAGATCCAATTGAGTGTCCTTCAGATGTCGATGAGGACATCATCATTGATGAACATGGGTGATTTGGGAGTTATTAGCCATGACAGATTTTAGGGCAGTAATTTCTTGGTCTAATAAAGCTTGCTTATCGTATAAAAAAACACGAATGGTCATACAATAACAAAGATGGTATGGTAAAGTGCAAGTTTGGTGTGGATTTAATAACCTAAGGAAGAAAGGCCCCCAAGTTGCCCTTACCTAAATAGGTGAAGTCCCTTCTTTAACAACACTAACCCTCTGAGAATTCAAAAATTCCACAGGGATCGTATGCTAAATAGGTAACAACTCGAGTGAAGTCTTCACAGAAATCTCCGAAGGTTCAAAAACCTTTCAGGAAGACTGTTAGAAACTTCAATTAACCTAGGGTAATTTTTGGACACGGGTATAGGGCAGGATTGTGTGTGAGGTAGGTGTCTTAGGTTATACGAACACTGCTATCAAAAGTCACAAATTAACAACATAATGATCAATGTAAATTTTCCTTTTTTTTATAAATATTTATATATTTTCAAAATATTAAAACATGATTAAAAAAAACATAAAAATAAAATAAAAATTGCAATGCTCAAAGAAACCAAAGTACCACACAACAAAGATTTCAGAACTAGCTATGAATGAAACACCTCCCTTTAAGAACCAAGTGAGCCAGTTAAATGAAAGGGTTGTCGGCCTTACCAGCGTTGCTTTAGGAGCTCAAAACAAAAAGTTTTACCCCCAAATAAGTTTTAGATGATGACTTGCGCCCCTCAGCTCCTTCAAAGTTGAACAAATTCCGCGAAAACACACAGAAAACACTGAAATCACGTTCTGGCGGTGACTGTACGGACGGTGCGTGTGACGGCGCGTGAGGCGAGTGAAGACCACGCGCAGAAGCTCCACCGGCGCGTGACGGCGCGTGTGACTTCGGGCGCAGGTGGTCTTTTTGGTTCTGACCGGATTTTCCCTTCTGAGCATGATGGTAGCGTCCGTTTTTGGATCTGACGTCGGGAAATGTGATTCTGGGTGCTGGCAGCGTGAACAGAGTATGCTGAGCTCCCTTGAGAGTTTTCCTTCGATCTCCGGCCACGGAAACAGCCTAGGAACGTTCAGAACCAGGCTCTGGTACCAAGTTGATGTAAAACACACACACTCACATTGATTTGAACAGAATAGGATGAGGAAAAGAAACAGAATCAGAGAGTGAGAGATGAAGGGGGAGCGAAAACAGAGGGGAGAGATGACAAAAAACAGAGAGAGCAGGGGAAGTGGAGACGCAGAACTGATAGATAGGGGAATAGAACAGCAATTCATTCCAACTCTCAGAACTTGCTTACATGTGCTGCATGGTGGCTTTTTATAGAAGCCACAATTAAGGTTTCCTTCTTATGAAGGAAACATAAAATGAAATAAAATATAAGCTTGAGGTTTCCTCCCCTATAAGGAAAGCTCAACTTGCAGATTTAAATAAACAGTAAAACAAACAAAAGCAGGTCAGGTTTCCTTCCTTTAGAAGGAAACTTACAAAATACTAAATAATGCAAAAACAATTATTTCTTTCTAAAATAACATTTGCCATATTTTCTATCACCTTTTTTATTACCTTTTAAAGTAGAAGCATGAGAGTTATTCTATCATTCAAGTGCGTGTTTGATTTGACATAAAGTTTTGGTAGTTTTAAATAAAAAACAGAACACATTATAAAAAGGGAGAATAACAAATAAATCACTAAGCAAAAGCATCAATCCAAAAGATAAGCAAATAAATTTTGCAGGTAGCAGTATACAGAAATCCAGAGCAATAATTTCATAAATTAAATTAAATTTATATTATCTTTACTTTAAAAGCTAAGGTTTAAATTTAAAGAGTTAGCATGCAAATTTGACCCTAAATTATAGGTATAAGGGCAATTTGAATCCAATACTCGTAATTAGTATATTTTGAACCTTAAATAATTAAAGCCGGTGCATCCTTGCCCCCACTGTTAATTTAAAACTAACAGCCGTTACTTTTTAAACATAGTAGGAGTCCACATTCTCTATCTGTCGTATGTTTAAAAAGTAACGGCTATTAGTTTCAAATTAATGGTGGACATGAGGATGCATCAATTTTAATTATTCAGGATTCAAAATGTACCAATTAATAGTATAAGATTCAAATTACCCCTGAACCTATAGTTTAGGATCCAAATTGTATATTAACCTAAATTTAAATTAGGATTCAGGCTTTCTTTTGAATAAATATAGTTTGGATTATTATTTGTAGACTTATCTTATTATCCTATGTTGATTATCTTGTGTAAGATCAGTTGAAATTTATTTTATTTAAAATCAATGTACTTAGAGCTTTATACATTGTGGAAAACACCCCATACACGAGGCCCTTGGTTAAACATGGATCAAGCAAAAGCACACTAAACCTTGAGCTAAAATTATATATTTATTTTATTTTGCCATGACGCTAATACATATCAAGAACCAATCCGTCCTAAACTCACATACAACCAATACTGAGGAACCACAAAATCATGGCTAAGGGCTTTATGCTTGAATAATAAATGTTTCAAGTGGTAGATAAGATTGTTAACATCTTCAACGTAACTGTATCAACATTAAATTAAATAAAAAGCACAATAATTACCTGCTATTTGAAGTTTCTATTTTCAGGTTATTAGCAACCAAATTGCTGTATATCATCACAGCAAATAAAAAATCATTATGTTAGTCTCATTATAATATATATATATATAGAGAGAGAGAGAGAGTGAATCTTTAAAACGTGCAGATACTAAAGAAATTATATGATACTAAATTTTCAGCATAAGAAAATAAGATAATAAATTTCAGCTTAAGAAAATAAGATCATGATGGCTTAGACATGTTCTAAAAAAAGAAGTGAGAGGAAAATGAAAAGAGCTGAGCATGTGAATTTTGACCCTAAAAATAAATGTAGAAGGAGACCAACAAGGACACTTAAAGAAGTTATAGACCAAGATCTCTTAGCAAATGATACACACACACATACACACATTCATAAGAAAAGTTAGTAACTGATAAAACACAATTGTGCAATGCGATTCATGTTGAGTCTCATTCAGTGAGATAACGCTCTTTGATGTTGATGATGATATAAAAAAAAAATTGACAAATAAACTTGATATAACCATAAAACTAATGAATGCAAATGCTAAAGAAATTCTATGATAATAACCTATATAGGATTTTTGCTTGACTATTATGTCTTTCATTTGTAGATCTCATATACATGTTCTATTATAAAATCTGTACAAAATATGATTTGTACATCAATAATTGCTTATATTAGGTCGCAAAGAGGGCTTGCCAGTGAAAGTGAAGCAGAGACCAGTGAAGAATGGCATATAAATGGTGGAAAAAGAAAAAATAATAACTATACTAAACTACTTACATTTGTAAATTTGGCAGGTTTACCCAAGAAGGGAGGCTCCCTGATAGACTGTTGTAGGACAAGTCTCTGTACCATTTAAATTGGATAAGTAAATTTCATATAGATAACAGACAATACATATTGAAGAATTAACCATCTATACTTGTAGATATTAAACTTATAGATAGATAAATAAGGAATTTAGTATATAAGAATATGGATGCATAGGGAGTATCAAAAGAAGGTTATGCCACGAATAGAGGAAACAACGGTCAGTCAAAATTCAAGATCACAAATTTATAACAGGTTAAGAATTGAAATGCAACTCAAGGATATCAAGCATAATTTGTGTATATTTACCATATTCAGAGCATTTTCTTTTTCCCCTTGTAATGACCCTAAATTTTAAATTAAATTAAATTCATTTTTTTTTATCAATTAATATTTTATTTAAATTAATTTTATAATAAGTGGAGGGTGGTGATTGACATGAACTTATGTCAATAACTTTTTTGAAGATTCAAAATTCAAATTTTATTGAGCAAAAGTTGGGTTTTATTTATTTTTTTAATTATAGAAAAAAATTTATGCCTTTCTTATAATTTTTTTTGGGCTTCACTTGTAATTTTTTTCAATTATCTTTTTGAATCAGATTTTTATTCCCCTCTGCTATTCGAACTTCACGAAACAGAGCATCTCATTTTTGTTTTGTTTTTTTTTTCTCTCTTCTTTCTCTCCATTGCCAATATACTCCTCTGGTCTTCATTGTTGACCCATTTCTCTCCAGTCCTGCCATTGGTTTTCTCCATCACCGTTGACTTGTGTTGTCCTCGCCATCATGATTGGCTGCTGGAGGTGGTGGAGTCGCCGGATTCTCTTCTTTCGCCATTGTCTGTTCTTCCAAGTTCGTGCGTGTGTGTTTGGTCTTCAATTTCCTTTCCTCCTCAACTGCTAGATGAAGCTTAATTCCTTCTTTTTTGCTGGATGGCGATTTTTGCCCCTTCCAAATGGTTCTGCCGTGACTAATGATGATGGGGACTGAAGTTCTGCTTCACTATTTCTGCTGGTTATTGTTTAGTGAAGAGGGAAATTGAATTTCTTTGCTGTTTAAAGCATTAAAGGAAGAACCTTGAGGAATAAGTATATACATGCTAAAAATTTCTTGTTAAGGACTGATGTTAGTTGCAACCAAAGGTGACTCAAATGATTGATTGGGATTTAATTTGAAATGCTATGCTTGAATAGTATATGGAAGTTTGATTTATAAATTAATGATGATGAGAAATTGAAATGAATAAGTGATTTTAGAATTATGATTAATTCATTAAGGAAATTAATGACATTCTTAGAATTGAGTGAAAAGTTGAAGTGGAGCAAGTTTTTAAAATTATTGGGGAAAAAAAAAACCTTTTAGGTGGGTGAGTAGTGTTTCAAGTAATTTTTTGTAAAGTATTTATAAAATTTCTTTCCTTAAATTTTTTACATTATCCCTTTATAAGTTATATAAATATTTTTGTTCATTTTTGTTATGATTTATACAATTCTTTTTACTTACCTCATTTTTATATTATTTGGTTTATTATAGAATCTGCTTTATATTCATTAAGAATTATGTTATTGTTAAGAAATATTTAAATTCGCTACATTATTAACTAATCATTTTTTCTAAACATCTCTATTGTTTAAATTTTATAATTTATATGACAACTGTTAATACAGTGATTCGTGCATGGAGAAAGCTGAAAAGAAATTCACTAGCTGAATATTATATTTTGAAAGGAATGGTTTTCAATGAATGTTTCAACTTCATGCATGCTTAATTTAATTAGGGGACTGAGTTCAGAACACTGGATGCTAACAGCAATTCCGTTAGCCCTTGACGCGCCATGGTACACCTAGCTAGCAGGATGCATTGGAGGTGCTAGCCTCGTGTGCCGACCAACACATGTGGAATGAAGGATGTAGTTCCGTGTATACAATCCACACCTGTTATTCATAAGCTTTATGCTTGTGCCTGTTTTTCGTGGCTTCTTGCCACACCGGATATATTACTTACCCTCGTGGATTATGCGTCCACGCTTGTTAATCGTTCTAATTAAATTCCATTAAAGAAGGAATTTTGAAACTTTTTTCTTTAAATTTGCTCTTAGAAAGCAAACGGCTAATTTTATTTATTTTTTACTACATGTGGATTTTGTATTGAGTATCTTAAGATGTTAAGCATGTGTAGAAATTTAATAATTTGGAATTTGAATTGTAATAATTTCATTTGTATTTATGTATTCTTTATTTATATTATTTCAATTTCAATTGATTATTTTAGTAAATTTATAATTAGCTCATTGATTGCTTTCCATTATTTCTTCAACTGTGAATTGGGACGCTACTTACTGAGAAAGTTTTCTTTAGTCTCAAATGTTGAAATTTACCCTACATCTCCTGCTGATCATTGAGGGACATAATTGCTTTTGGAATCCTGGAAGCATGTGTTAATTACTTTTGATGTAAATATATTTTATATTATGAAAGTGTAACTTAATACTTCACGTATACTGTAGTTAGATCCTTGCCTTATTTTATCGTTGTGAAATATATTGGTGTGGAGTTAAGCAGCTTTCTAGTTTAGCTGACAGGTTTTGTTACTGTAAAAATTTTATGAGGTCCTAAGGGGAGATTTTGCCGAAATTTTTATAGAATGTTTAAGATTTTACCAACTTTATAGTTATATATATATATATATATATATATTAAAGACTTTTCGACTAGTAGGGATTATTTATTGATATTTTATTTTTATATTTGGTTAATTAAGGCTCATAAAATATGAGTATATCTTATACTTTATGCCGGTCACACCCTTAGTACCTTGGTGTGACAAATACCTTCCCTTTCCAATTATTATCAGGAAGCTATATAACATCCTCTGAGTTTGAAAACAGTAATAGTGTTGGAATTTCTGAATTCATTTGAGATACAAGATTTGTTAAGCTATATAAAAGCATTAATACCGCTAGACACAGACATATATATACTATATATAATGTACATATTATTCTTCATTATTAATTCACCTTAATGCTGCAGAGATTAAATATGTCAAGCATACTCACACAGTGAGAAGAGACGGGCTTATCAGGGTTGGGATAGTGCCACTGAGGCTGTTATTTCCAAGAAACCTGAAATTGGAGAAAGGCAAATCATGCTTTAATCTAATCATTAAAGCATGAGAGATGATCAAATAATTTAACTACTTAGGCATGGCATATATGTTACAAGTATAATAATGAACTCATATTGAAAAGTGACTCTGGAATCTGTCCCGTGATGTTATTGAAGCTCAAATCTCTGCAAAAACCAGCACGCACAAATGGTTATATCTAGATGTGAAACACCAACAACTCAAGACCATTGATCAAGTTAATCTTGTTCCACTAGGAAAGATACTGAATTCTAATCACAAATCACTCATCTTGATGGACATTTCATTTTGCCAGAATTAGTACCAAATATATGGGTTGTCCAATAGTTAAATCAGCATATAGTCTATTATCCCAGAAAAAGACAGTATATCCTCAAGTGCGAGATATCTAATGGAAACCACTGTCTCATTTGCTTTTTTCTGGGAAACAAGTTGAAGAAAAATGGCAGCTATGCTTCTGTTCTTTTCATCACATTCTTGGATAATGCTATAGACCATTATATAGGGACCATGGCTAACGACCATCCACTAGAATACCATGAAGCAAGAACATTAAGAGAAATAAATTTTCATGAAAGTGCTCCATGTTACAGGATTCTTTGAAACCAGGAATTTAATCCTCTGATTTGGTCAGCAAGGTTAACAGCTAATCTTGACTAGCCTTTTTCTCAACACAATTTTTTTTTTGGATGAAAAATAGGGCAGTGCCCAAACTATATTATTCAACTAGAAACACACATTTAATTATATGAATAGTTTAAATGTATTTGAAGACTCACAAAAACAGGCAATACTCACAGATGGGTCAAATTGAGAAATTCACCAATATTGGATGGAATTGAATCAGAAATTTTGTTATTCCTCAGTTCTCTGCAAGATTTGTAACCAAATTGTTATGCCACATTCTTGAAAGAAAAAAAAGGAAAAATATAACTCTTGGCCCTTGAACTTTTTCTTAATTATCAATTCAGTTCCCAAATTTTGACACAAAACAAATCAATTTATGTAGTTTTTTAACTCAACAATTCAGTCCTTATAATTTCTTGACTCGATACAATCTAGTTTTTATAATTCCTTAACTCAATAAACACAAGGACTGTTCAATAATTAAATAAAAGTTTAGGAACTAAAAGTTATATTATTTCAAAAAATATATATCTAAACAGAAGGCCTTCTCTCAATTAATAGGGGAACAATTGCCTAACAAACTTACAAGGTAGTCAAGGACTTCATGTTCCTTATAAATGCCAGTGAGGAACTCCCATTAGATATGTCACTTATTCTCCTACATTTGAGTTATGCATCATATAATTAGCTCCAAACAATCTGCAGAATTCATGCAAGTAAATGGTGATGGCACTCACAACTCTTCGAGAGAAGTCAGATTGCTAAATGAAGATGGTATTGGGCCTTCAAAAGAATTACCTTGAAACCTCCTATCAAAACATACAGCAATTCTATTAAGTGAGAGCCCACCTTCAGAATAGGACATGCAAGCATCAAAACAAGTATTCGTATTTCACATCCGAAAGTATGTTCTGTTCACTACTTTTTATCAGAGAAGATTTAACTACCTGTTTTAAATGGAGAAGTAATTCGTTGATGAGAGAAGAAAACCATACAGTTACCTTGTAGTCCTCCCAAAACCATATTTCCCTCCCCTTCTATTAATTTTTCAAAACCAAACAGTATGTAAAACTCCCCTCCCTTCCCCTTTGTTGAACCAAACACTACCTGAGAGTAAGAGCGTACAGCTACACAAAAGAATAGAGAAAATAAGTTGACATAGTGATGATGTGTGTTTAGGCATAAATTTTTTCACACAGTTAAATTGATTATATATCAGGGTTCTAAATTAAAAAAAATTATAATAAGAAAATTTTATTTCAAGCTTCTCATTTTTTTTTCTCTTTCCTTTTTTGGCTCATGCATTCATGCCATACAGACTATGCCAATCACTTATTTATTTTTTTTTTAAATTCAGACTAAACATGATTTAGGTCTCCATTTACCTCTTTCCTTCCCTTCCCCTTCCCTTCATCAAGCCTTCCTCCTACCAAAATGGATAATCGCGACTCTTATTATCAGTATTTAGGGGTAGGTCCACAAGTCCTGATGAATTTTTTATTCTTATTTTTCCAAATACAAAGTTCAAGTTATAACATCTAAAGCATTGTTTCTCACCCACAAATACAAACATAACATATAAATTGTAATATCTAAACGCAAAATTACCATTCTTCTAAGGACAAATAAAAAATAAAAAACAACAGGATACAAATGTTTTAAAATGTGATCATTGAAATTTAAATTCTAGTTATTTTCCTCCATCCTCATCATCATCCAAAAACAAAATATTTCAATCTTGAGTTGAAGAAAAATTGTGTTGGGACTACTAATTCAACAATACAAACATCATTATCTTAATCAAATTGAATAAATATCTGGTAAACTGTGTCACTTTCATATTTTTCACGCAAAAATAAAATTATCTAAGATAAATGATAAAATATAAGTAAACTACCATTTGATAGAAAACCATGCATCCAATTTTGCATAGCACTCAAAGGCATAAGCAAATATATTATTCTAATTCCATTACCAAAATAGGGGAATACACAAATTAATTATAAGCCTTTGGTTAGAAATAAAATTAATTCAAAGAAGCTAGACGAATTATAATCATATAAAAAATAATCATAAATCGATAGTCCGGGCATTCAGAATTTAAAAAATAAAAGAAAAAAGATTGTTTAAAAAAAATGAGTTTAAGGATTAGCTCCTTTTTAAACATTTTTTAAGACTTCTAAGCCCAAATTTAAAAGTCCTTTTTGTCATCCCCCAATATTTAAGGTCCTTAAAAAGTGTGAGAAAAAAGGGTCTTAGTTCAGGTCTAATCAGTATTTCTGGCTCTTATCACTATATTCATTGAAATAAAGCATCCAATCAAAGGGCTCAATATTCTTTGTTCCACCCAAAACTAGAGCTGTCAAGCAGGCATGCCTATCTCTTTTGGCTCAGGTCCAAAAGCCATATTGTCCTAATTTTTGTAATTTTGTTAAGCTTAAGCTGAACCAATTGGGCTCATGATTAAGCTTGAAAAGCCCAAATAATTTTTTTTATTATTCAAATGGAATAATACAAATTCAAGTCTTAAAGAACAAATATAAACTTTTACAAAGTTCATATTGCTAAACAAAATTAAATATTGTTTAATCCTTATAAGTGCAAGGATGATATTGTAGTCGCTCCAATACTTGTCAAATTTCTCATTCATTCTTTCACCATATTAGAAATCACAGGATTTCAATTGCAAATATTTTCTTTCAGCAATCCCTCAAATTTTTATTTTTACAGGAAATGCATGTTTCAAGATAGAAATAGAGAGGGTCTTAGCTATGTTTCACGTTTCACACTGTCCTTTTAATAAAAAATAAATAAATAGACTTAAACAAATAACCCGAGCCTCTTTTTTTTTTTTGGAGCTTATACTGTTCACGTCCAAAAGCCATTTTATACTAGAAAAAACTCCAATTTTGAAAAACTGAGTCTTAAAAAAAAAGTATGAACAGTGGTGTGACAGATCCCACCAATATTCTTGACTCCACCCAAAACCAATAGATTCAAGTTAAAAAATTTAGCCAAAAAAAACAAAGGGGAAAAATGGGAAAAGACAACTTGCAGATTAGCTAGATAAGCTTAATAATTAATAGTATCACCATTACAAGTATCCAACAGTTCTATTCAAAACTTCCAATTCCACTTGAAATTGGCAAATGCATAAAAGATTCAACAGCATTTTTTCCTCAAAAAAATAAATGAAAATAAAAATGTAAGGGTACCAATAATGTTGCCTTACAAGACTGTCAGCTTGGACCAATTTCCTATGAAGTCAGGTATCCTGCCTGTGAGTCCCATGTCTGAAGCCCATCTGGACAAGCAGGAAATTTTTAAATTTATTTCATATTATTACTTTTATTATTATCACAATTAGAAGCAATATCTTACACTGCCCCCAGGTTTTTTCAGGTTCGCCAAACTGGGAGGAATCTGGCCGCTAAGTCCCGAACTATCTAAGTAGCTGCATAAAGATGTTCACTGAAAGTATATATTCATCTTCTTAAAAGCTCAGAAATTAAAATGTATGGGATTGAATCAGTGTATACTTAAAAGCTTGACATTAAAAATAGAATCCCATACTTCCAATGCCGAACTCTTTCAATTTTGTCGAACAAAAACTATAGATAGATAGATCACTTACAGTTTTTAATTTCACCAGTTTCCCAAGTCCAGAAGGGATAGAACCAGAGAAGTTGTTTGCTCCAAGAGCCCTGCATAATTAACAGCTTATTAAGTGGATGCTGGATAGTATGATCAGGATTTATCTCACAAAAATCATTATTTCTTATAAAACAGAACGGTCTTAAATTAAGCTCCACAGTTATATATGGTCCTTCGACTTACAGTGATATTAACTCGGTAAGATCTCCCAATTCCTTGGGAAGCTCCCCTGATAACGATTGATGCCCAAGCTCCTAATTGGGATAAATTTATCATAAGGCACAGCTAGCAAATCCAAATTCTCCCTATTAAGATGGAAAAAGTAATTCATGAGAGGATCCTTGGCCTTACAAGTACTGCAAGCGAGTTAGATTTCCAATGGCTGGAGGCAGATAACCCCTCAAGTATTCTGGCCGAGGTTCCTGATCGCAATTGAGGAAACTTAGCATACCAAGAGAGGACAGTGGACTTAACAAGAAAAAGAATCCATTGCTAACTTTAGCAAGAAAATTGATGACGAAAAGGGCACACAATTGGTGAGGTGAGTGAGAGTCCATAGCTCTTGTGGGATTTCCCCAACAAATCCAAGGCATAAACCCTCCTGCCATGAAATGCCAGAAAAAGCAACACAGCATTATCAACAAGTTAACTCAATCAAGTAAGAGAAGGAAAGATAGAGAGACTATACAGTCCGGTAATGTGGCAAGTAGTGCCATTGGAACAGTCGCATTTGACACAAATGGATTAAATTCTTCAACCGCGGTGGTGTTGTCGATGGCTTGTCCGCTGCATACCTCACCGCTTACATTCCATACATTTGCTGACGCCGAGAATCCCCATTTAGGGAAGATCGAATTCAAACTTCTCGCTGCATGAAAGTTTCAAATTTCGAGGATATAATAAGGGTGTGTTTGAGAGCGTAAATTAAAGAACGGAGGAGTAGAATGGAATGAAGTGGAATAGCTGACCGTTCTATGACCTGGGAGTTTTTACAAGAAAAGTTAACGGGTGAAATTAAGTTATTATTAAATTATAAATTATAAAATAAATAGAATGGGCATGAATTATAATTTTTTTTATTATGTACTCATATATGAGTTAATTTTTTTCAAAAAAAAAAATAAATTTGGTGTTGTTAAGATAGAAAGGTCCAAGGGCTTTCAAGAAAATACCATATTAATTTATTTTATTTTTTTGGGTCAAAACTGAAAAACTTCATGAGCTTGCCTCTTTCATTTGCGTTGAAAGTTTCAGTTTTATTAACATCTCAAGCAGTTATTTCTATATGAATGATCGTTTTCCAGGAAAATCTTTTTTTATGTAAGACTGAGAGCCCACAAAAGGACAAACAGAGAAAATAACAAAAGCATGTGTGTGTTTATCTAAGTATATATACCTTCAGAAGGATCCGTAGTAGCGTTTTGAGCTTTGTGATACACCAACCAGGCAGCTCAAGAACACACAAAAAGCAGATGCAATTGCCAAAAACCAAGACTGGTGAAGGAGAATAGGACGAAGAAGGAGCCATGTGAGGCTGATCGATTTAGATAGGTATCTGTAACCTAGCTTGTTAAGATTAAGAAGCATAGAAATTAATAGAGATGATCAGAGATCGAAAATGAATAAGCACAAGGCTTGGAGGATTTTGCAGAATGCATTTGCAGAGCCTACAGTGCGATAATGGCGTCTCTGAACAAGTAAATTCGAAAACGATTATTTAATGAAAGAAATATATTAACGGTGTTGACAGGGACTGGGGGACATAAACTTGAATGTCTTGAAAAACTGAGAGACTCTCAAAGTCGATGGCGAGCTCTCACCAATCAAAGTTGACAATTCAAATAGCTTCTGAATTTATTTATTTTTTTAGTTTCAAATTTCTTAAGTATATTGGTCCATGAAAAAGCTTTCTTAATTAGAAATTCATCTTACTCAGAAGTAAAATTCCAGAGGGAATGACGCTTGCAGATGCGATGGGCTTTGTTTTTTTTTTCTTTATATAAACAGGAAAAGAAAAACAAACACAGCAAAGAAAAACAAACAAAACAGAAAAACAAGCACACCACCACCTACGGCGGGTCTCATAACCTCAACGGGACAAAAAATCTCCAGGACACATGCAATTGCAACGGTTGCATAGTCATTAAATAAAAAATTAAAAAAATTATAATATACTACAAATTTTGTCAAATAGTTACATATTTTATTTGGCTCCACAATTAAAGATTCTTGTCTATTTTAAAAAAAAATTATACAAATCATTTTTTAAAAATAAAGAATAAAATACATATAATATCTATGCAATTATAATAAAATATAGAAACAATTCATATAATTACTTGTTACTTTTAATCAAATGACATAAACTTGAAAATATAGCAAAAGTCTCTGCAATTTCAGAAGAACTGTATATATAATTTACTTTAAAAGACAATTAGTGATTAATAGAATCTAGGAAAAAAAGAAAAAGTAGAGATTAAACAGGTAAAAATGCTGAGCTTTGTTTTATGCTACGGAAAGTGGCTTGATGTGTTCCAATTTCAGTCTAATGTACAAACACTTTGGCCAAAGAAAGAATCAATATACAAAAAGTCAAAATTAGACAAACAAATTGAAATAGAAATTACACAAATTAGCCACGCCCCCCACCTGATATTAAAGTGTTTTGATATACTTTAAACCCTGAATGAAACTTAAAGCAATTTCTTCCAACCATTAACAAGAAGAAACGTACGTCCAAACATCACTTGATCATCCCCTCGCCTTCTCTCCTTCGCCACTCTCTCGCTCTCTGTAATTGTCCTCCGACGTTAATCACAAATACCATAATCTCTAAAGCTAATAATTTTCATTTAAGAAGATATCGAAGAAGGATAGGAGCAACCTTGATTATTTAAGAACTCCAAAATTAATTAAAAATAGTTCTAAATAATGAAATCTCAACAATTTTAAAAATAGTTCAAATGGAAGACAACATATAAGGCCCTTCAAGGCATTTAAAATCAAAGTTACATATAGTTATGAAAGTTTGGAAAAGTCATTGAACATTAAAAACTATTTAAAACGGGGGTTAAAAAAGTTATTTTTCTAAAACGGAACCTTTCATCGCAGCCAAAGCTGCATTCACCTTGGCTCATGGTACAAAACCACTTGCCACATCCAAAGAATATTCTACAATAGCCAACTACATCAAGGCCATCCGCCACAACCAAACTTATCGTTCCACCACTGCTGATACTCATGATGCCATCCATAGTGCTCAACAATAGTAAGCCTTGACCACAACCAACAAGCCATGACACACACAAAAAAGATAACATTCAAAGTTGAACTTTTGAAATGTCTAACTTTCAACTCAAAACCTTTGATTTAGTTGATATAACATCCACATGTAGACAATAAGTAAACTAGCTAATGACACTAGCCTTTCATCATCCAGTAGCAGGCAATTGTGGAATTTAGATATCGCGACAATAGAAAAGAAAACATGTCCCACTACCCTAAATCTTCAAGTGTCTCTAGCCCAAATGTTAAGCCATTAGGCACAAATGATATAACTTTTTACGCATGAATAATTAAACATACTATCTCATAATGTTTGACTACATATGATTAACATTAAACCTGCATCTATGAGCCTGCACATTAATTCGTTTCACCTTCCAGGACGTACTATCAAGTAGTGGATAACAAGTCTATCCACATTCAATTCAATCCACAATAAACACACACATGCAGCATTGACTCATTTTCAAAACAATCAAAGGACCATTAGCAATAAATGCCTAAGTCTACAAAATAGGCTTATATGCAAGTGACAATTAAATCCATGCAAAATGACTCCTAATATTGGCAATAAAATATTCAAATTACACACTAAGAATAACTCGAGACATTACATTTAGTTAAATGTCTCTAACTTCACCTGCTTCTTTTGTCCTGATTCGGAGTGCCACTTGGAAATTATTAAATAATGGAAGTGAAATTATATAATCTTAATAACAAGCACATAAATTTAAGCAAATGAACATGTGGAACATAAAAGTAACTAAAGTTTTTATATATATATATATATATATATATTTATTTATTCACATGTATAAATTCCATAATTATTGACACACAAAACATGTGAGACAATAAATACGATAATTATGCATGTTCATGATCTACTTTTATTACTCTCCTCATATCTTTTGACTGAATCCATAGGCTATTAAATCATATAAGACTAACTCGTGTAATCGAGTTAATCTCGCTCCAATTGTGGGAGGTGACTCATCTAAGGTCCCACTCTCACTCTTTGGGCCAGGATTTCCTTGTCACGAACTCATCGGGTGTCACTTCGCCTAGTCCAGGGTATTAATCAGAAACATTGAGGCCTTGTAATGCTAGTGAATAAACATAGGATTTTTCATAATGCTCTACTTTCTCGGGTGAACTCTCACCATTTGTGATCATACAAATCCATGCAATGACATTTTTACAATCATAATCATGCTCATCCATTCAGATGATCATACTCATATTCATAGATTATAATTCATAGCCATAATTAGCATATCACATTACCATTATCATATCAAATTCGTGTTCATCATTTTATATACTATAACATATCATAACCATTAAACATACTCAACTCATCTTGCAATATTTCTTATACTCATAAATAATATAATCATAGTCAATAACATACATCTAGTCACATTATTATCAACAATCATGCTTAAACAATCAACATGAAATTCATTCAATCATGTGATACATTAACTCATACCATCTTATAACTCACATCATAATTATCGAGCCATGTTAAGATTTGTGTGTTCAGTAGCATATCATTCACATACCATAATCAAACAAGCTCATAAATGCATACACAAACATATATTAAAATTTAACTTTCAGTTACCTCAACTCTTGGTTTACCACATTAAAAGTACAATTTAGATTTCAAGAAAGCTCACAAACATTCCATGAGCTCTGAAAGTAGTCAATCTACAATTTAAAATTAACAAACATCATTAATGACTCATAGTCATTAATTAGTCCTTAATCACGATTAAGGCCTAAAATCCTAATTAATGATATTAACAATAAACAATTCCATTTTTGAACTTTTTTAGCTTATTTGACTCACATTAGGTTTAACTAACATAGTTAAACTTTCCTTTTGCTTATCCTAGACTAATTAACATTAGGGTTATCTAAAGCATCATTAACATTAATAATCAGTGCCATTAGTTAAAACCAAAGATTAGAAAATTAAAAACATCACCCTTAGATTCCCTTAGAGGGTAGAAATTTGCTAGAAATTCAGACACCACTTCCATAGCCCTAAAAACCTAAAGAAAACGCATAGAGAAGGGAAGCTTAGCCAAGGATTAGATAGCTTAAAATCACCTCCAAGCAACCCA